TACTAATGTACTTGTGATACACTGTATGTGAACACGTGTGATATACTATTTGCGTGTAATCGTTGTCGAAAATTTAATTTCATTTTAATTAAAATTTCAATATGTTTTATAAAATATAAATAATATATATATATATATATATATATATATATATATATATATATATATATATATAAATATAATATAACTATGCTATAAACATAGAAATTCATGTATTCTTGTGTACAGGAGAGCTCTGAATAAATTTTTGATCACATGCAATTTGTAAACGCGTACAAAACAATGAACATCTATCGGTTACGTAATTTCTCGGGGAAAAACTGTAAAGAGCAGACAATTGAGTTTCGACTACGTTCCTACTTTTTATTTATTTATTTATTTTTTTTTTTTTCAAGGGGTTGATGGTACTTTCTCTTTCTTTCTTTCTTTTTTCTTTTTTCTTTTTGTACGAATAGAAGTGAGCGATAATGAAAGCACAGCGAGTTGAACGCGTATGGCGGAAAATTGCTACGAAAAAGAAACGTAACGAAAAGATGAGTGTTCTGTTCTGTCCTTGTTCTATTTGATTCTTTTTTCTCTCTCTCTCTCTCTGTCCTTTTTTTCGTTTTTTGATTCGAAGCTTTTCCTTGAATAATAACAATCTCTGAAAATCTTTTGAATAAAGATGCGAAGAGAGAGAGAGAGAGAGAGAGAGAGCATCCTCGAAGAGAAATGTCACTGAAATACAGTCTTATACATTTTGCTATAGTACAATTCAATTTAAAGCTAGATAGACAGGGAGTAAGCAGTTCAAGCTAGTGCAATTGTTGACGGAGATTGGATTTTATTGTATCGAGGACTAAACTTTCGTTGGGTCTTCTTGCTTAAGTCCCTCGTGACGAAGTATTTCTATCGGATAAAGAGAAAAAGCGTTTTGACGCATTCATCGATGATTTAGCTCCCCCCTCCCTCCCTCCCTCCCTCCCCCACAGCTTACTTATTTCTCTTCTCTGTCAATTTATCAAATTTTTCAGAAAAATATTACACATTTACATTTTCGTCTGTTAAATTGTTTTATTTTTCATTGATTATTATCATTATCGTCATTTCTTTTATAACGTCAATAATAATAATTATTATTATTAATATTATTTGGCAATACAAAAAAAAAATGATATTATAAATAAAGACAAAAACTGTAAATAATAAAACTTACGATAAATGAAGTATTGTAATGAAGTTAGATTGAAAAAGTAACTGAACATTATTATTCTAATTAAAGTGACATAATTATATATATATATTAAAGATGTAAGATTAAATTGTAAGAATATTTCGTGGATATATTATTATTTAGTGACTAGTGTAAAAATAACGTTATTCCTTTGTGAAAAGATAATAAAGAGAGACGGTGAGAATGTCAGAAAGCGGAGCTTTTAGTAAAGCTATAGCTTTAGGGAAAACCGAAAGTATTATACACGTTCATCACTAATCTAAGCTCTCGCATTAGTCTTATATGCGTATAGCATATAGTTGGCTTCTAGTCCTTCTTTAGTACTCCTATCTAATACAGTTTAATGCTCGACAGAAAGATGAAATGCCCATTCTCATTATTAAGCTCGGTTTATTTCAAAAGCCTTCGAGTTGCCAGCAAAAGTGGAGTTCTCTAAAGTAGAAGCTTAAAATAGTTAATAAATCAACTTTACCGTATACGAAATAATCTAGAAGTCCATCAAGATGTATGTATAATCCAATCGTTAGAGTTTCTACTACAAAGCGATTACTATTGTTAGTACTTGCACAGATACGGATAACATACAATACTATATATATATATATATATATATACAGTAAAGTTCGTTTTTCCTTTCTTTCATAGAAAAATACGAGGAGTGAGAGAAAGTACATTTCTGTAGAATGGTAGAACGTATAAGTAACGTGGGTGTGTACGTTGGTTTTATCACGAGGGGGTAGAAAAATAAATTGAAGAATGTTATGTTACGCGTAGAATTTCGAGAGAAAGAAAAAGAGAAAGCGAGAGAGAGAGAGAGAGAGAGAGAGAGATAATATAATAACAGTCTCTGAATTGTTTCTGCGTTAGTAACAGCAGCTTAATTCTGATCAAGTACTCTCTTCTCTCTCTATCGCCCAACTTTGTGGTATTTTAGTGGCAAAGGAAAAGAAATGAGGTCAAAGAGACCTCAGAGAAGAAAATTGAGAACTTCGAGTATCATACTTTTTATGTTCTCGCTTTAACCACCATGAATATTTCTCGGAAATTTAATTGCATACGGAAGAGTTTGTAGTCTTGGATGAACGGAGGAGTATCACTATGAAAGAAAAAAAAAAAAAGAAAAAAAAAATGTATACCTACCGGTAGAGATCGGACCGTATTGCATCGAAGACACCACCGGCTTTCAAACTTTTCTCAGAGTAAGTAGATAGTTGATAGTAGCAGTAGTAGTAGTAATAGTAGTAGTAATAGTAGGTTAGAACGAAAAGAAAACTTCACGTTGAAGAAAAAAGTAAGGCTGGTGGTGGTCGTTCACGGCTCTTATTCCCGCCGAACAAAATGAGAGTTATATAATAAATTGACGTTGTGTTCCTGAGAAGGAAAGAAGAAGAAGAAGAAAAAGACAAAGTAAAAGAAAAGGATGAACGAAAAAAAAAAAAAAAGAGAGAGAAAAAAAAAAGGACCAACTGTAACTCTGTCCCAAATAATTTTTACCCCGGTTCTTTACTTTTATTTCTTTTTCTTTTCTTTTCCTATTTATTTTCTTCTTATTTTCGTCGTATACTTTATTTAGTTATCTTTTTGAAAAGAAACGTTTCAATCGTTCCATCTTTTCACTACGCTTATTGATGGAAATTAGACTTTTTATTATTCTTAGAGAATGAGAAAAAAATAAAAATAAATATATATATATATATATAAATTAAATATAAAATAAATAAAATAATAAATATAAAATAAATATAAAATAAATAAATAATAAAATAGTAAAATAGTAAATGTAATATAATAGTAATAATATATAAATGTATAAAAATATAAAAATATTAAAAATATATATATATATATTTTTTTAAATAGGAAAAAAATAAACATAAAACTTACCCAATATGGGATTGCCACGATGGGTTGCCAAGCCACCAAGGGTTAAAACGTGAGAATGATCAGCCGTCACGACGATCAGAGTTTCCGTAAGGTCAACTTCCTTCATGACAGCTCGAACTGCTTTTTCCAAAGCTAAAGTTTCATCTAGTGCTCGATAAGCGTTATTGTAATGGTGGGCATGATCTATTCTACCACCTGAAACATAAATTGTAAACATTTTTTTGAAGTATTTTTTATCTGTAGGTATCGTTTTTTTCTCTCTCTCTCTCTCTCTCTCTTTCTTCTTCTTCTATTTTTATATTTACATTTGAATCTATTTTTTTTTTTTTTNTTTTTTTTTTTTTTAGTTCAATCCTAAATTTCCTTTTTTCTTTTATTGTACGTTGATAAAAAAAAAAAAAAAAAAAATGTCGTTTGCAGCAAAGCATCGAAATTTATGGGACGCGTAAATTGAATGAAAATTTGAAAGACTCTTCTCGCTCTTGAGATTGATGCGTACGGGATGGTGGTGTTTTCAGATAAGAGAATAATAGAAATATTTTTCTTATACAACATTCCACGAACACACACACACACACACAAACAGAAAAATCATTGAACTCTCGAATCGTGTTATTTTCAACGCCAAAAGATTCATTCCTATGTTATATAATACATTTTATTTTGTATCTTTTCTCTTTGTTCCAAAACTATAAAAAATCAAATATCATAGATAAAAAAGAAAAATATTTTTATTCCGATATATCATTTTTAATTATATTTTTGATGATAGATCGAACACCACCATCGGTGAAAGAGAATGCACATTTTGAAATAGAAATATAAAAAAATAAAATCGAATAGTTTCGACGTGGTGAAACAATATTATTTTTAGAAATGTTCCCAATAAAAATTTATTACACATTTTCAACTATAAAACTAGTAAATAAAAATATCATATTTTTTTCGAAAGTTTATTTTTCTTTTTTTTTGTTTTTGTTTTGTGAAACACTTTTCACGTAATTGTTTAACCCTTTGTGAGTACATTTGACGAATCGTCTAAATTTTATAAAGATTTATGTAAATATATCAAATATATAAATATTTCTATTTTGTTTCATTTATTATATATTCATTTATATTTATATATATATATTTATTTATATTTTATAATTGAAATGTTGTTGCACAAAAATATATTTATATTATCAATATAAATTATATTCCAATTAAAATGTATTACTTTTACATATTAATCCATATTGCAACAAATTAAATCCGTTATATATATATCTTTAAATATTAGGTTGGAAATTATGAAACGGGCGTTTTTTTTTTGTTTAGTCTGTGTTTTTCAATTGTTTATTAACTCTAAAAATAAAGATTTTTTTTTCTCAAAAAAGGCATATATGATTTGTCCAATCGTTGGCAAAAAGTCGTAGAGATGCCAATGGAAATTATTTCAATGGAATATAATAAATAACGTGAAAAATTGCGCATTCAACGTCAGTTTCATAGTATTCAACCTAATAATTCACACACAGTAGTGTACTCAAGTAGTTTAACGAGAATCGTACATAGGTATAAAATGATATTCATTGAAATATATATATATATATATATATATATATTATATGTTTTAATTTTATAAATATAAGCATAAAAACACAAAATCAAATAAAAAAAATATTTATGA